CACGAATTTCATTAAGCGAGGAATATATATATACATATATATATCCAGTTCTATTTTAGATCCGAAGAAATCTGAGTTTAACTTAAAAAAAAAAAGGATTATACAGATCGCGATAATTGAACGAGAATTCCTGTCTAAAAATTGTGCTGTGCCTTTATCCCTCTCGAATTAGAAAGTTTTTCCCGTTTTTCCAGGAAAGAGCCGGAGAAGAAAAACAGCGTTTGATGAATAACCACACGATGACGAACAAGCTTTCGCCGAGGAGGGAGGGAGGAAGGGCATTACCATGACGATTCCCGGCAATTAATTCGGGCGGAGGAAAATCGGCTGTAACCCGGGCCGAAGTTTTTATTCGAACCCCGTGCCGAAAAATCCTCTTTATCAGTATACGCGCACGCGGAACCAATCCTGCGATTAATCAGTTCCATATTAATGACCTCGTTAATTACGCGGATGAAGTGAGACGCATCGAGTCCAATAATTTATGCGCCGTCCGTCAAACGTATTGATTGAATCCATCGGGTTTTATCATTGACCACCGTTTAACAATGTTTCGTTTCTACGATGTTCGTTCGTGAAGCTACGAACATAAAATTGTGTCGCGACACGCGTACCATTCTATTGAGCGACTGATGGCCTCTTAAGCCGCGGTTCTTGCCGCAACTTTTTCTTAATACAAATCAGAATTGATGGTTATGGTCGTATCTAACTGCCCATAAATATACTGTTTATATGAATAAACTGCTGCCGCTTACGTAGCGATTTAGCAAAATGGATTGCATATCCCCATAGAAATAAATATATAGCAAATACGTTTGCTCCAGATAGAAAAAAAATTCAATGAAACGCATTAACAACAATCGTATTTTATCTAAATTAACTTTAATAGCAAAACTAGGAACATCGTTTGTCACTCGACTGTGAAGTTTAACTCGGGATCATAGGATAATGATTTACTCTAGAACGGCACGCTCCTCAACAACTTCTTGGACTGGCAACTTGTGTGCCTGACGCGAGTTACACCGTTCACGGCTGACAGTTACACCTGCACATATGTCCGACTGTCGTGCGCTGCAGCTTGAGATACTCGCCTAATGCGCCGTTCTTCATCGTCCCTGTGGTTCTATCAATGGACCTGTATGTCTGCAACTGCTGAGCACCAGGAAAACAGTATAACCCGTTCACCGATGCAATTTACCATTCCTAGTTTCGCAATTGTTAAAATAAAATCACAACTGTGTTTGCCAAGTGTTCAGTGAAATTCTGTGGATTTATGGATGTATGGATTTTATTATAAAATCGAAATTATATAAAATTGATTTTATGTTACATAAAAATTCACTACTCATAAGGATCTGAACGTAGATCTTCAAACAACAGAAATTAGCATAATTGCATTTGGCAAGTGAATGATTAAAAAGAATACGCATCGTCGTTTAATGGGTCGAAATTAATAATCGAACCGATGGCAGCATTAATGCAATTTCTGCCGCGTCGCAAACAGTGTCTATGTCACGCGCACGCATCGAGTAATTTATCGTTCAATAATTCAGCGAGACACGCGGTAAGGATCATCCATAGACATGACACTTTATATCCATAGAGAGAGAGAGTTCCTTTTGCCCGACGAGAATTATATTCGGATATGAACCGTTATTAATTATGCAAACCTTTGAACGAGGCGTTATCAGCTGTTTTGCATCGGCGAGAGAAATCTGTGTGCCCTGCCGCTATCGGTTCGCAGAATTAATCGATCGCGGAATTTTCGCCCGTCGAAGTGGGACGGTAACTCGTTCGCTTAATCGCCGAGCTAATCCACTCTCCTCGCGAGACGCAAATTCCATATGAGCGATGATTAACGCTACATAGTAATTATCCACAAAAGGTATTCCTTATTGCGTACACGTTCGGAATGGATGCTGCGCCCAATACCGGATTTATACAACACGTCCGCTTATAATGGAATTTCCTAGTAGCTGGTATCGATGCGTGAACGATAGGCTTACGCCATACCGGAAGCATGCCGCGATCCTAAATCATGTACCAAAGCCGAAAACGTACCGACGTAGCGCGAACGATAAAATTCATTGGTACCTGGTTAAACGATTTCCGCTATTAGGTAGCCAAGTTGCAACCGGGTCGAGAACTTCGCTGAGGAATTTGCATGGGTATCGGTGGTTTGACGCCGACAGACGCCGATAGAGGCAATGATAATTTGCGAGCCGTAGCGGAGCCGTGGATCGATTCGTGCCTCCGTAGTCTGCGGAATTAACAGATAACAGTGGCAACTCGGAGCCGCTCCGCCGCGCGCAGAATTAATTCTCGCGCGATAGTTGATCGATGATAAATTCACGATTATTAATTCTCGTGGAAGAAACGAAATTTTAATTGGAAGGTGCCGGGAGACTGTTACAAATGGGCTCGGGTCTGCGGCCGTTCGAACCGGAACGTCTGGGAGTACGCGTTGTTACGCGCTTCCTGTACACGGCCGACTCGCGTGGATATACCGTGTCCGCAAAATATCGATTGACCGCGGACGTTAACAAGCGAATATTAATATCTTCTGTTACAACACGCGGCGTACATGGGTCCATGGCTTTCCGGCGAGCTACGTAATTGACGTTTGTTCACGCTGCTTTTCCACCCGGCTTCGTCCCCGCAAATAATTGGTAAAACGATACGTCAGATCGGGATATAAGTGATCCCATTCCCGGCGACGCGTCAGTATTTATTTACGTCGATTAATTAACACTAGATTGGCCAAGGAAGTAATTTTTACTGCTTTTGGGCAAATGTACAAATAATAATGCATAAATTATTTTTTTTCCCAAGTGAAGTAAATTCTTTTTATTGTTAACATTTACTAATAACTTGTTATATGACTGTAAATAATATAAAAAAATATTAAAAATTAATTTTAGACAAATTTCTTTACACATTATTCTTTTACAATGCAGTCATTTTTACTGCTTTGGGCAATATAGGTATATACTAAGTTTCAGTCTTTCTAGTGTTAAACCACTGAATCGAGAAATCCTGGATATTTACATTCCGGGTTAATAATAATCATCGGGACGTTCGTCGATCTTCGGTTCGCCGGGGAAGTGACCGAACGTAAAAAGAAGAGAAATGAAACTAGGGATACCGAAGAGAGAGGAGAGAGTTAGATTAAACGAGCCGGGAAACCGGCAGGCAAGAAGAGTCGAATGGGCGGTTACAGAGGGAACAAAGGGAGATAGGCAGGAAGAAGCTTCGCAAGAAACCGCGTGTCATCCAAAGAAATCGTGACACCAGAAAAATACCCAGATGAGAAACTTCGCCAAACTCCCAAAAAAAAAACCAGATATCGATGTTCGGATTTAAATACGTCAATCGACGTAATTAAAATAAAAGGTCGAAGGTTGTTAAACAAGTTTCAATATTAATTAACTATTTCAATCCATGGAAATAATGAAACGGAAAGAAGAGAGTCGAAAGGGTTAACGATGGAAAAAACCTACGAACCTTATTTCTGTATTAACCCTTTGTACTCGAGCGGCGAAACTAATTGCAAACTGTAATATTTAACAGATTTTGTTGTATTCAA